GCCCGTTCTGGTTGACTGAAAAATGACAGTGAATATTTTCTGACTGTACCTCATTTTAATTCTGTTTGAGAACATTTCTTAATTTGATGATTGGCCTTAATTTTGCCGTCAGATGAGGACCCCAGAAAAGGTGACCTTTTTCAGTGGTGCCTTGTAAGTGGAGACACCAATTTAGAAGAGAAGGGAGGTGGGGAAAAAAGTAAGAGTCCAAACCAGATGCGTAATGTCTTCATTAACGCTACAGCTTGATTGACTGATATGTTGTATACAGCACTCGTTGCTAGGCCTAGCTAAGGTTTCACTTGACTTTCTTCCTGCTGGAAAAGTTGTGCTTTTATCTCAATGCTGCAAATGTGGACTATTCAGACAGCTGTACAGAAAGAAGTAAAAAATGGGACTTGTGCCCCAGGACTTTGTTGGGCATATGCCGTAGTACTTTGTATGCTGGTGCCCCCTGTGCCCTACACAGCAAATTGCAGATTAGTGAACAGTTGTAAATCTGCCAAGTGAAATAAAAATGTGAAATCCTATTATTCATTTTTAAAAAGAAAAAAGTAAATCAAAGATTCTTTGTGTGGAATTTCCATATTTCCATAGATTTATCACCTAGGTATTTTGTACAGCATCTTCTCAAACGTTCACGCAATTCCTGCACAGAACGAACCAGGACTGTGAGAGGGGGCTCGACTTTATTAATTATGCAGTCAGCAGTGCCTGTGATTACTGGGGCGAACCCAAGTGGGGAATACTTAAAGGCAACCAAGATCACATGCCAAAGATATTACAACAAAATTATTAATGTTTTAACGAGAGTCCAGCATCTGATGAGCGATCAGTGCCTCCAGTTATACGAATCAAAAGATCAGTCCAGACTCTGTTAAGTAAAATTAAACAATTTCTTTTCACATCGAGCCCCTTGGAAACCCTGCATGTTGCAGAAGAGGATATAAAGCATAATCTTTCCTGTCTAGTTTTCTGTCCGTCTTGTCTGCTGGACCTGAGGGCAGCGTTCAACAATAGATCATCGTAATGCTCTGCCGCATCCCGACACGTCTGAAATTGATGTTTGTTGTTTTAAAGCCGTGCAGAGGGATAAATGTGGGATGAAGAGCCTAACTGGAGCCCCACTGTTTCTTTGTGCATTCTCCTAGCTAACTGCACTGCTGATAGACAGCGCTATTAAGCAGTCATTAGCACCATGTCTGAAAGCTCGGCTTCTGTGATAACAACAGGCCATTCAGGATGCGGAGCCTTTGTAAGGAGCAGGGCACAGCGTGGCTCATATGACTGAGTTTGATGAGGTCAGCCTATGACATGCCAGAAGATATAAAGCCAACAACAACTTTTCTTAGCCCATTTGGTGTCTGGACACATTCGCTCCTAACGTTCCAGCAATTTTCCTTCGAAACGGCTTCTGCCATTAACTCACAATGCAGATCCCATCACCGAATAACAGTCTGAGCGTCGCTAGCAGTGTAGAGCACCGCCGTCAAGATAGGTGTGCCCGACTCAGTAGAGGAGGAGATGGACACAGGCGGATATTAAACGCCTAGCACATGCTTGTTTTCTAAACAACCGAGTGGACAAAAGAGTAAATGCTAGTGTCGTTGGTGGTGTGCAGGGCTGCAAGGCACAATTGTGCATGGCCGTCTGGGGGGAGGTCCAGGTTTGTCCAGTGTTTTTGGCAATGTTGAGGCCATTTTGGAGTTCTTCAGGCAGTGGGAAAATGTTTGTGCGCTGTGAATCTTTTCTACTTCCAGCTGTCTTTGTGGGCCTTTAGATAACAGGGCAGGATGCTGCTTGTTCAGTGCAGAGGATGAGAAGCAACTCTTACAGTACGTGTGTATTTTGGGGGCACACCCAGTCATGTATTTTTTACTTTAATGGTTTAAAGGTGAAGCTGTCTGCGTGCAAGCTCCCCATTCTGGGAGTGCTGGTTCTTGCAGCTCCCCTCTGCGTGCTGCTGCATGGGGGACGTTGCCTTCGAGCACTGCAGGACGTGGGGAACTTCTTGAGAGCAGCACCCGCTGCCTGGGAGAACCTGGTGTCCCTCAGCTTTCCTGGCAAAGGTTATTTAAGTCACAGTCCCAATTTCTTCCACTGCAGAAGCTCAGCGTCCTCTGCTAGACAGTGTGCTCATGTAAATTGTTTTTAGCCCGTATATTAGTTTCAGGCATGCCACATGCTTGTGATAATGCCATTTCATTGCATTTGGGCTGTTGCTTGGGCCCAACAGCGACGGTGGGTTTGGGCTCTCAGAGGCCTGGAGGCACGAGCATCCATGGTGCTCCTCCAGCATCTCCGAGCCTGGTGATGCCTCTCCTCAACACGTTGGCTGTTTTCAGGTCAGCATTTCCTTATGCAGCCCGTGGCTTTGTGCGGTTCATCCCGAGTGTGGAAAAAAGGATGTTTTTCCTTCAGCTTGCCCTTCTCTGAGAAACCCTGGAATCTATTCCTTCCTAACAGCTGGAGGCCAAGGGACTGATTTCTATGCAGGAATCAAACCCCCCCAAACAAGCCTTCTTAGGAGGCAAACCCTAGAAGCTGGTGCTGGTCGCAGCACTACTCCTGTATACGTGCAAGAGGCGTTAGCAGGGTGATTGGTACAGAATGCCAGTCACTGGCAAGCAGCACTCTTGTACCGCGTTAATTGTTCCAGAGAGACATAGAGATCAGTACGGTTGTGACTAGTCCTCCTTTTGGAGAGCGCTTTACTGCTTGTTCTGTGGTGGTTTATAGCTCATCGCGGCCAGGAAGGAGTGTGCTCCATGGGTGCAGAGACAGGTAGTTAGCCATAGCAGACTGAAGTCAAGCAGAAGGCAGGGTAGAGACACACCTTATGAACCAGCAATACTCAGCCAGGGTGCCATGACACACTGGGGTAGCCTGGAGAGCCTTTCAAGGGTGCTGTGGGGTGCCATGCAACGTTCACCGTGGTAGGTGTGCAGATCAGATTCACAAGATAAACCCAGAGTTTGTGCTCTGAGTTCTTTGCGGCAGCAGAATTAGTCGTTGTTGTTCTGTAGTCAAAAATGCGTGAAAACCAAAAACTGGCATTTTCCAAGGCGGGGGGGCTCAAGTCTAATGAGAGGCGCCATGAATCTGCAAAAGCTCCAGGCCCGCTGTTATAGACTAACTGAATCAGAGAGACCAAGGATTTTGTGAGCAAGAGCTCACGTTCACGAAAGATGATGCATCTCTGATTCAGTTAGTCCATAAGGTGCATCTCCACCCTGTCCTTTTCCACCAGAAGGGAACAGTTTTAGTCAAACTGCCCAAGGCAAAAGGAGCCATCAGCACGGGCAGATTGGACCGTCTGGCTCCGAACATCTCACTAACTTTCTGAAAGAAATTTTGCAAACAAAAGAAGTCACAGGGGGTGCTTGAATCCTCTTTTTCTAGATCATGCTTCTCTTGTTTTACGATTGAAAAAGCTTGCACACCAGTCGGATGATCCATTAGTGTTAAGCAGCATGGTTCTACTCTAAATGCATGGCAAGTCATGTAATGTTTGCATTACCATGTTGAGGTTGTATTAAATATTTGCTGGTTATGAATAATCTATCAGTCCATACTTAACTGTAGTTAATTTTGTTTCCACTCACTGGAGCCGTCTTAGGAGCAAATGACACATTTGTACTAGCATAAGGAGGAATAACAACTCCAGAAAAAAGTGTATTTCCATAACTAGGCAAGATATTCATTCATTCTTTTTTTTTTTTTTTTTAAAGATCTGAAGCGTGGGAGACCATGAACCATAGGGAGGAGACACATGAGATAGCATGAGTTACATTAGATGACACTTTTTTCCGGGTTTCCCACTCATATGGTTAAATCCTAGAAAGGGGAAATCTCTATGAGTGAGTATCGTCTTAGCCTTAGGAAGTTTTCTCTGACTGGCCTGTTGGGCGGTGGGGTTTTGTGAGTCGAGCCAAAAGAAAAGGCTCCGAGGCCCGTCCAACAATCCTGCGGCTAAGGGGGCGGCTGGGCTCCCCGCACAGAATGTGCAGTCTCGTTCCAGTCCTGCATTTCCACTTCTGGAAGAACATTTCCAGTACAACTGCTCCAGCAGGGACACTCTCAGACTCACTGCCCCTTCCTAAACACTGAGTAGGCAATTTGGCCTTACAACAGGCAGCTTCATCAGCACTGCCAATGCAGCACGCGTTCCTCTCCAGGGCTGCCTCTGCTCAGCTCGCTGGAGCCCTGTGGGATCCTGGGAACGTGGGGGGAGTTTTGCAACTGGCTGTAGGCGTATGAGGGTATGATCTGGCCATATGCTTCCCAACATGGGTTATGGAATATATCTTTTAAGGTACTTAAAATGTAAGGTGTCTATAAGTGCATTGTACGTCCTTTGGAAAAGAAATATTAAAATATTGTTGATATGAGGAATTTTAGTCCAATACATTTCCAAGCTCCCAACTCTGTGTCCATTGCTTTATCTCCATGTGTGGCGAGATGCTAGAAGACAAGATGAGGATGTGATGGAGATCATTACAGAACCAGCCAAATGGAAATTAAGGCCAAGTCTTTTCTGTACAAGTTGACTCTAGTAAAGCTGTGCTCACATACCACGGCAAAATCTGGACCTGAACAGTATGCCAAAGGGCTTAGATTTAAACTTTCACCTCGAAGAACCACAGCAGGCAGTTTCAAGTTTGCAGAAATAGAGATGGTTCAATACGTGGGTTATCGTAGAGGTGGATCACCAAAACTGGGGGGGCTGGGTAAAAAACAAACCCCAATAAACCCGCAACAAACAATGATTAACCATAATGATGAAGAAATAGTCTCCATAGTACCAGATTACAGCATGGCTCTCCAGCGGAGTTCGTAACAAAAAGAACCAAGAATTCCAAGACGAATCCATCTTTTTGAAGTCAGTGGAGTTTTAGCCGTTGACACTAATCAAACCAATAGCCACTGCTTTAAAATAAGACTCATTTCCCCAAAGAACCGTCATGTTTAACAAACATTGTTCTCTCTCTTTTCCCCAGTGTTCATCATGGCTTCTGGGCTCTTGGTTTATCCTTTCGGTCTCAACTCTGCTACTGTGAAGAAATTCTGCAAGAATTCAGCAATCTACTATGCAGGAGACTGCCAGATTGGATGGGGGTATATGCTGGCCATTGTTGGAGTCATGTTGTCTGTCTTTTTACCATTCTTTGCAAAATATGCACCAAAAGAGCACATATCTCCAACTCCGATACCTACTATTTTATAGTATTTTATTCGTATTTGACAGCAGAACACTCCTGTCTGCAATCCATAGGCAGCAAGTATTATATAGCACTTCCTTTTAGCTGTATTGCTAAAAACAGAACACACAAAATTGAAGACCAGGGGAAGGGGAGAGGGTCAGACTCAGAGACCAAAAGTGCACTGATAGTCTTCCGTCACGATGAGACGCTAACACTCTGGAATTGAAATAAGATTCATGAGCAGCTTTTATACTGCTAGAAACATACAATGGCTTAATGCCTTAGACAAAAAAAATCTGTTTATCCTCAAAACATCTGTCTACCTCCCAAACAGTTTCTTTTATGTCTCAAAAGCTTTTAAAAGCCTCAATTCACTTTTATATAGTATTCAATGTCAGAACTTTTATGAACCCAATCATTTTAAATCCAGTGATGGTATTTTGTTATAATTATGATGAGTAGATAAGCTCCTGCTAGCGTAAGGGTGTAAAATGAAGCTTGTTATCTATGACAAACATTGTAAGCAAGAAAAATGTCTTTTTTAATCAATGCATGTTAGTTGTGTGCCTGAATATTGTAATTTCTAGGCACACTTTTCTGTACCCATCTAATAATTGGGCCGTATAGCCTCCATAGTGACCGCTATACATTTTAGCAACCTTTTTGTTAAAGAGATCTAACCATTTCAAAGGGCCCAATACCAATATAACAGGTTAAAGCATAAAAATAAGTATACATAACAAGTGCATTTGTTTAGTCAGTTTTTAGATTATACTTTGCGTATAGTTGTGTGGAATCCTTTGAACTATAATTGCTTTTGGCTCGCTTTAGTTTCTTTAAATCTGAGGGGTAAAGACTTCATTAACAAACCCTATTTGCCTCATGACAAAGGTTCATCAAAATGTGAGACAGAATGGACAAGATTCTCATATTCCCACTCATTTTGAATAGTATCTTTTTCCACAAGAGTGTGATTTATTGTGGAGCGCATGCTATTTGACATGAGTATGCATGGCAGACTCCAGCAATGACATGACATTAAATTTAATGTTGACTAGGAAAATGCCATAGATGATGGATATTTTTTGTGTGAAATTTATGAAGTCTAATTCCAGCAGTGGCATTTTTATCTTCATTACCACCAAGGATTCAAACAAATGCACCAATTGCCTTAATTAAAAGAATAATTGGGTTCTAATCCTGCTCCATCTCCATGTTCCTCACTGAAAATAAAAGTAAAATTCCCATCCTTTCATTGTGTCAAGAGATCATCATTTCTTTGGTATCATAATTATGTTCAGTTCTCTTTTAATAAATATTTTAATTCTGAAACTTACTTTTCAGGTTTGTAACTTGTCATGTCAATTAATTGATCAGATTACTCATGCTTTTTGACTAATTACACGAGCCCGACTACTGGTTATTCGTGAATTTCTTCTTTGGTGAAAAAGGTGTGTGAAGGGACAGATGGAGAAGCATTGAGGGTGTATAAGAAAATGAGACCAGGCAGAACAATCACTTTATTTTATTCCAGTATGCATCAAAGTGCTATAGAAATCGTGTTTACATTCTTAAGCCTTCTGAGCTCAAACAGAAGCATGCGGTATTTTCTACAGAACAAGTTTGTTGTTACATCGTGAGCCCCGAAGGACAAATCATGCGCGTTAAGTTCCACTGCTAATATTGGGAAATACAGATGTGAAAGCAGAACGAAGTACATAGGGAGAGAGCTGTGTGGTTTTGGTCACAGCATAAGTTCAGTTGGGAATTAAATCTTCTACATGGGTAACAAATATGAGGCTGAGGGGATGTCCTTTGCCCTCCAAAAGTAAATAGGATAGATTTCAGTCTTCTCTGTACATAACATGTGCTTCTTATTAGCATCTTGTGCTCTTCTTCTCATACGTTGCTGGAATAGTTTGGAAAGTTTCATATAAAATTAAGAAGGTAAAGACTGAAAAAATAAAGACAGGTCAGTGGAAAATCATAACCACAAAGGAGAGAGAAAGAGAGAGAGAGGGATGCAGGCTTTTCTTTCTTAACCAACCTGTGCCTTTACAATCGAACAAATGTACAAGACAGGATCAAGGACTAAAAAAACTACAAATTCTCATCAACCACTGAAAATGTTGTACTATGTGTATAAAATGTATTCTGTAGGTTTTTTGTTTTGTGTAATGTTTACAATTGTTCACTAAATGTTTCACTAGGAAAAGTGATTTGTTAGTGTAAACTAGAGAGCATTCTTGCAAAGAATTAACTGCTTACTCCAAAGTCAGATTATTTTAGATTTATGTCAGTGCCCGTCGGTCAGTCCAGCAGACAACTAGAACCCACTCCCGTCATTACTTATTAATGTCGTGTTAGTCATCTGTGCAGAGCTGGAAGCGGGATTCATTCCTTTGGCACCGATAGGACCGTACATGCGAGTGAAGTTACTTGCACATCCAGGCATTTGCAGGCTTGGCTCCAGGCGGAAGTTCCTTGGTAACTCCAGCCTGTTGTCTCAGAGGGTTCTGTTGATTTGCCAAATGCTTTACTTTTTAAAAAATCATTTCCACTTTTCTAACACAATAATCAAACTAAAACCTGAACATATTTTCTGGGATGATCTCCATTTTTTAAAAGAGAAACAGATGCCTGTTTTGAACTTTATATCATTTTAAGTCCTGCGAGGAAATAGTGTCAATTTGTATGCTGTCTACACACGGGTGGACAAAACTGCCATGTAAGGTGCGTGTTCAAAGCCACTTACAAGAGTAGATAGAGCTCAGTGTGAATGACTCCGACCGGAGTCGGGGAAGCATAGGCTGCAGAGCCTCCACAGAATGTCACATGGGGAGTTAGTACCAATACGTTTGCTAACACTGATAGATCGCTTTTTAAATGAGGATTGTCTGCGAGTTAAATGGTGTATAACAGTTTTCTTGTTAAAAAAAAAACCACAAAATTTACTGGATCAGGTTCAAGTTTTATTCTAAATATATAATTTTTTAAGTGTAATGAAAAGCTGTATTTTCCATTACTGTGTTTCTGCGTTGACTAGCTGGCTCCTTTTTAGAATATTAACTGTTTTCTGTATTTGACTTGTTGAATAAAATATTTCAATTATTTTAAATGTGAAGTTTACAATTGCCAACACTGTATATTAAAATAATTCATGTTCACTATGTTCTTGACTTCATCTTTGTTTTTTTAATTTAGTCAGATTTGGTACAGAGCAGTGACTTTAAGAGAAGAGGCTGAAGGGAGCTGGGATGTAGATGTTCATTCCTTGACCTCAGGCCTGTACGAATGATGGCCCCTGTGGTCAGGATGCAGCCTTGCAATACAAGAGACCCAGGTTCAATTTCCCCTTTCTTTTCCTTTTCTGTCTGCCCTTGGGCAGTTCACGTTTGGTGTCTGTGTGCTTCCTTCCTTCACGTACATGTTGTGAGGATAAATATAGGGAAATACCGAGGTAATCAAATGCTAGAGTAATAGGGACCAGAGAATTAGATAAACGGACAGACCACATGTCAGAACATCCCTCTGCGGTGCCTTGTACATGTGGCTGTAGAAGAGCTTCTCCATGGGTTTTGGTAGAGCCAGACTAGGGAAGGCGACATCTGCAGCCCACTTGTAGTGCCAGTGACAAGTTTTCTGACAATTTCCTATTTTATAGGACTAAAGTGGTGCAGAGGCTTTGCTCTGACCATCTGCACAAGGGAATCTCACTGTGCTCTGCATCAAGAAGAGTAAGTATCCACAAAGGTCATTTCTTTTGCTAGATAGGTTTCCCTCAGAAAAGGCAGGGGTTTGGGTCTCAACCCCTTAAATCTTTTGATTTAAGCACTTACTGGCTAAGCACTTAATGGAGTGGCCCTCCGGTTCCACTGTAACCCACTCCTTAAAGGGGCCATGGCATTCACTGTTGAATGGATTGCCTGCAGAGGTGGTGGAAGAGAGGGATACAAATATCCCACTTCTAGCGGCCGAGATTCATAACGCAAAGTGATACTAAATCTGTACCCGCAGAGGGTGAGGGAATGACAGTGAAATGAATGGCGCACTCTCCCCACCTTCCATGATAGCACTAATAAAGCCATTCTTCACTCTCATGCAGGGATGCAATTTGGCCCATCTTAGATACAATGAACAATTAGTATAAAACCACATATTTTAATGTTTGTGTTTTAATTGTCCTCAGTTTCTTTCAGTACATTGCACAACAAAAATCCATGACAGGTAAATGAGGATATGCCAAAACAAACCAGAATGATATTTTCATTTTTATATAGCATACAGTATGACAGTACTTTCAAGCGTTGCGTATACTGCTGAAACGAGCTTTGTTAAATGCATCAAGGTATGCAGCAGTTATGATAACAGATCAAAAAGAGTCTAATCTCAACTTTAAACTACTACTTCAATTGGAATTACTTCAAACTTCATTCATTGTTTTTACATATTCTCCCATCTCAATATCTGCGATCCTGACAAATTCGTGGAAAGTCTGCTGTTCTGCAAGCGTTGCAGGTCTTACAGAAACACACTTAAAGATGTTCTTTTTTGTGTCATAGTTTCCCATGCACCTGTGCACTCGACCTCTAATTAATCGTGGAAGCTCCCGATCCTTTTTCAAAATCAAAATAATCAAAAAGTTAAAATGATCTCCCTTTTCTGCCTGAACCAAGACGTTCAATATTTTTGAAGGGTAAGTATAGTTCTTAGAGGATTTCTGGGGGCTGTCATGCTTGTCAGTGCTAGGAAGTGCTGCTCATGTGATCCAAGCAGACACCCCCTGTTCTACAGGGTGCTGAAAGGCTCAGCAGCACCACAGGGTTGTGGTATGTTATCCTACAAATAAAATACACACTGACCACATTTGTCAAGAATGAATGATGCTCCCTCTGCTTCGCAACTGTTTCCCTCCAAGATTCCAGTGGATTATTTTCAAAATGAATCTGATTTGAGAAAGTCCCTAGACATTCCTAGAAATATCTTCCACAGTTTTGGTGACACAGGAGCCTGGTCTTTCCTGAACTGTGAGCATGACTACCACAGATTAGTGAACCCACTTTTTTCACTTGGAGGGAGACATAATACATAATAGTTTTTGCATTTTTCATACTTTAGAACTTAGTTTTATTAACTATATACAGTGAGCCCCTAACAGCACCATATTTGGTATATCCTATAAAAACATGGAAAATACTTACAATTTCATAAAATACACATGTCAGACTCTCCTTTTTATCTCTCAAAAGAAAATTCTTTGCTCCAAATGCTCCAGGTGTGACTGCAGAATCAAGTGTGCCTAAACAATCCAGCAAGAGATAGATCAGGATGTAAGTATCAGATCAGTACTAAATGCCGTGATCTAAACGATAAGGTGACATTAATATTTAGTAGCCAAAAACAACAAGCTATATATTAATGTCAGCTTCCTCGCACAACAGCTGTTGACATGAGAGGGCGTTCTAATGCAATTGAAGGTCTTCCTAGAGCTAACTCCTGATAAACTCCCACGCTGTTGCGGAGAAGTGAGTAAACAAGCATGCACAAACAGCATTATGAACTGGCTCTTGCCAGGCTAAAAGCCTGGAAGAGAATTATTTTTAAACTTGACTTATCCTTACGTGCAAATTAGTTCTAAACATTAACGTCTTACTTCTAACCGGTCCGTTCAATATGCAAGGTTCTTGAACTCCCATTCCCTGTGATATTCCTGATGACCCTCATTGTGAAATCAATTAGTCATTTCTATCTTTCTTGTCCTGGCTTATTTTTAGGTAACATCAATAAAAGTGAAAAGTTCAACACATTGCAAACATAATAGTTTCAATTTAGAAAGTTTCCTAAATTAAGTCTTGTAAAGATTATTGCAAAACTCGGATTCCTTTGCTAGTTTAGTTATTCAGTATAACTCTCTTCTGTTTCTTAGCTTCAGTAATGTCTCCAGCTTTAAGTATGTCAATTCTTTAGAAGAATCGAATAATCCTATGTTTGTTGTGCTGGCTTAAAACCCATTTTTCTTACTAATTTATGGTGACATACAAGGCTTGTTAGACTGTTGATAAGCAGGGTTTTGTGACTAGCACATTGTATCATGGTTCACCTGTGTTAACTATTCTTTCTTCAAATCATTATATCCCAAAATATGCATAAATATGCATTGTAGGGGACTGGATGTCATGATCCAAGGGGTTCCTTCCAATACATGTTCCAACTAAACCCCAAAGGTTGTGAAGGCCTTTTGAAGAGTGTGATTTTCTTTGGGGTTAAGGATGCCATTTTTGCTAACTCAGCCTTTTCTCAACAACTTCAGGTTTTACAAACAAGCTCCCAAGTTGCACTGATAAATTTATGCTCCAGCTTTCTAAACTACAGAAAGATCCTATTGGGTATAATTCCTTGAAGACTGCCACAGAGGTGAAGTACACCATCTCACATCAGCCAAACCCATTAAGCCGGGAGGAATACTTATAATTTAAAGCCCAGTAAGAAAACTCCACTGAATGGGCAGTTTCTGTAGCTAGACTAACCACCTTCCCTTTTCTGGCAGTTCTCTTTGATGAAGTGCTGGCCCCTATCCCTCCCTACCTTGTGCATCCACGTAAATGGAGCTGCACTGGCTTTTGCACAACTGCTACCCAGCAGAGTTCTCATTTCCTTGCAACTCCTCCATCCTCTATTTCAGCATAAATCACTGATTAGATTAGCACAATTCATTTATTATTGCCCTGATCCTTTCTAGAAACCATTATGACAGACACCAAGACACTACCAGCAATTTTAGGATGAGGACAACTTAAATTTTGTAAGCTGATTATGCTTTCCATTTTGCCATGCTCAGATGTTGGTCACATTTGAAGTCTGGATAAAGGTAAAATGAGGGCTCATGCAAAAGGCAAGTGATTCAACATTTACGAAGTCTGTTTCTTTATATATTTTGGCCCATAGTCTCTGTATAATAAAAGCTGCATTGTCTTTATGGGAGTGCCCTGGAGTCTCAGCAGTGACACTAAGAATTATACATACCTAGCACTTCAAACAGTAGTGGAGTTTTATAAGTATACTGGCTCCAGTGCTTCATACTCTCGATAACTACTGATATAATTTTCAGAGAATTGTCGTTTTCTTTAAGTTTTAAGTGGTTTGCTGGAAGTTTCTTTCAAAGGAGGAAGAAAACTATAGTTAAATAGAGACTTTTACAGTGTTTTAAGTTAGACAGATAATTATACTTTGCAATGTTGGTTATCTTATTTTTGAAACTAACTTAGTATTATTTATTTAGATTTATGAAGTCCCCATCATCCACTATCCAAATATTTTATTTTATATCACAGAAACATTATACAATATTTTCCAGTTCAAATAAATAAATATCCTCCAATAAAAATAATGGCATTACACCTTTTTTCACATCCACAGTCACGTCAATGGCATTTCATAGAATGAAGGTCATATGTAAAGGTTATATGTTCAAAAATGCCTGCGTGACTTAGGAATGCAGCTCCAAAATGTACTTCTCAGAGAGAAAATAAATAGGGCTTGATAGTTCTTTGCACGTGCACTCAGTGGATTAATAAACCAAACCAAGTGGAAAACCATTGCTTGCAAGACAAAGAACTAATATAAATGTACTTGGATAATTAGTTTCAGGAGCAGATCCAGGAGTTTGAAAAGGGGAGTGTGGTAGAAAGCCCGGTGGTATGGGGGGTGACTGGCAGCAGAGACCCGCAGCCAAAACCAGGGAGTTCTCAGCAGCAGAGTGCGCTGCCTGCGTGCAGTGCTGTCAAAGGAAGGGGTGGCCACAACCCCTGGATTTGTTTATAAAGATTCAACTATCTACTTCATATTGGCCAGTGAAGTCACAAAGTCACAAGTCGCAGTTGGCCCAAACTTGCTACAGAAGCAATATCAGGGCTTTTTTGGGGTTGATTTATGCTGTTTGGCCGAGCAGGTGATTCGAACGTATGTGTGTAGGGTACAGGAGGAGTTTAGAAAGAGAGAAAGATAGTTGGGGGTGGGAGGGTGCACGTGCGTGGAGGTGCATATCAGAGAGAAGCAGAGAGAGCCGAGGGAGCAATGGTAACTGTCTGCAAAGACCAGGGGATCTGAAGTTATTTTAATACAGAAAGCAGACTTCCAGTTTTTCCTTCCTTCCTCTCCGCAAGCTTTTACCTGAATAGTGTTGTCTTCTGGGACATGATCAAACTGTTTGTCATTAACTTTACTTTGTGGAAAATTGTGTTTAAATTTATACGCCAGACTATGATCCTGTAAACTTCTTGACGTGGTGCTGGGTTTAACTGACCGCTGTGCTGTGACAGAGTCCATTTGTCCTGTTTCTGTTGTGTCTGTATGCTGTGATGCCTTATGGTCAGGTTTGTGCTGCTGAACAGTTCTCAAAGTATTGGACATTTTGTCAAACTTTTGAATTATTTCACTGTCAGATATTAAATCTGATGTGCTGTTTAGAGGCATATACTTATTTCTGTTCCAAACCCTCGTGTTGATATTCTTTTCTTCTGCTCTGCAGTGCAAAATAATTTATGGTTAAAAATCGCAATATCTGTAAAACATCAATCTTGGTATTCAAAATGTAATTGCATGCATTCTATGGATAATTCTATAACCTCCTTTTAAAAATGTCTATTTCTTTAGACCCACAGCAGGCATTTAAGCACGCTGATTCTTATTCAAGACAATAATGATGGATGACCTGGATGATTTTCTCAAGTTTAAAGATTTTATGTGGAAATTCTGCAAATGATATTAAAGGATCCTCTGTTCAGGATCCCACCCTACAATCACTGTTGAGAAATCTCTCCTTGAAAAGGCTCTAGGGCTGACATTTCTAAGACCCACACTTTATAAAAGAAGCACATGGTCTGCTCCTGTCTCTAGTCATGCTTGTTGGAGGTTTGGTTTAGGGAGATCTTGTCAGAAAGACACTTATTCTTCCCCTGGTCTTGCTACTGGAAAGAGGAAAAAATGTAATTGTTCAGTGAGTAAAAGCATTCCCCTGGGATGTGTGGCTTTGACAGCCACAAGCATTTGCATTAAGGCTCGTAACTGAATTTCCTGTTAAAATTAAAAATCGACTTAAACAGTTTCAGTAAGGACAATAGGCAATGGATTACCCTTGCTTAAAATGTGTGTTAAGTCAATAGAATAGCTTGTGTATAACTGAGGAAAAATGTATGTTAATGTTTTGGCCTTCTTCTGTGGCGGGGCCACGCTGAAATCAACAAGAGTCCTGCATATCAGACTCGATTCCACCGTCTCTCTTTAAGCTGGACTCACTAGTTTTGAGTAGCTGTTCCTAAAAACATATGGCATGATATACTCTATAAAGAGGATGCAAACATGGGTCCTTCTAGGTGCCCAGAATATATGGGTGGTTTTTTTAAGTCTTTATCTGAAGCTTCTCAGGTTCCATGGCTAGGTGTATTAGAAAATCCAAATTTTGCAACTAAAAATTATTTTTAAGCAATTTCATCTGAAATATGAAAAAACAATTCAACAAATGATTTACAGAATTCTGTTTTATTCCAGGTGTTTAACAGGCTCTCTGCTAATCCCTGCTTATAAATAAAGCATCTCTTTCTATAGGTCCTGACTCCGCAAAAGATGTAAACATGTGCATTATAAGAAAAAAATTCAATTCTAGAATTTACCAACCTCCAAGTATACAGTTTCTTTCCAGCATTTGATACATTACACTTCGATGTGTTTTGTTTTAACAGCAAAGGAGCCACAAGATGTTCTGCTTGGCTTTGAAAGTAATATTTTAAATGTCAGAATGACATACTAGCTTTCTTATTATAAGGCTAACCATGGTAAACATGGTAAAGCTAAACATTATGGTAAACATGTGAAATGAACTTTATGAAACTAATGAGTAAAATTCTCTAAATGAGAACAAGCAGGCAAAAAAAAAAAGTTAATTTTTACGTACCCACTGTATACTGTTTTCTGTAGCTGAGCTACCTCTGACTTTGCCACTTTCCAGCCTGATTCTTAAAAGGAAAAGGATTGCACATGGATAAAAACCCAAAACACTGATATGTTCTAGATATATATGTTTAAGACTATCTGCAAAAGACTGTGTACGTGCTTTACATAAGTAGTTTCACTGAAAACAATGGAGAAGCTAGCCCTTTGATATTTGTAATTACATATAACTTTATTTCAAAATGAATTTTAATTAACATTTTTCTAAGCTGATGCCTAAACTACAAGTATTAGAATTATCTCTAGTAAGCACAAAGAAAGTTGTATTTTCAGCAGCAATAGGCGGGATGACAATGATAGCAATAATTAAACCTGGCAGAATTTTATATCATTTCAAAACAGAATATGGCGGACAGATTATTTCTCTTCTCCATTAGTACAATAGCACATTATAAATGATTGAGCCTGTAACAGAGACTTTGAATTTTGATCGAAATCAACTGAAAATGAAAGGTCAGAGTTTCAAGAGGCTCCATTTAAATGCCAGCAAGCTACTTTATTTTCTAAAACAGAACAAAAAAAGTCAACTTCCCTGAAGGCATACAGTAAAAGGGCTCAATTGTATAGAGGGAAAAAGCTTCCCAGAGGACAGAGGAGTTAGAACATATTTTTCTTTAAAAAACTCAAATGTGCTTGTGAGCGCTAGATAAAGACTTTGAATTTTAGCAAGTATTAAAATGAAATTAAAACGTATTTAGTTGCTGTGTTAATAAAATTATATTTTTTACCCATTGTTGTGGGAGAAAAGTCATAGCTGTGAGTCGTGGAACTTGTACTTGGCTCATTTTTAAGTGGCTTTGAAGTTAGGGGCTGTCTATTCTTTTTTCTCTGATTGAACAGTGGCACAGGAAAACAACCTAAAATTAAATTTAAACACATCATCATATACAATAAAAAACACTTAAATCCTTCCAAATAGATACAAAAATCTGTCCTTTGCATTAATAAAATGCATTAAAAGTGACTGCCTAACATATTTTTTTGTTATTTATTTATTTGATAGCAGCCTAAGTGTGTGGTCCTTCATAAGCAAAGGCAAGTCCCTTGTCCTGAAGAATTTATCATCTCAGGCCCTAGTGATGGCAAAAGTGTGCATGTGCTTAGCTTTCTCACTCCGTGACTGCTAAGTTCAGCATTGACACTGTGGCCCAGCTCACAGAAAAATACACGCAGTCAATGGATCTCAACTCATGGCTGTGTGGCAGTGTGCATTTACAGGGCTGCGGGGTACCGAATGAGAACAGTTTGAAAGCTAGAAAATGATAATGGGATTGATACCTGCTGCACTATGAGTTGAGTTGTCAGCTAAATTCCTCTTCATTGCTTTCACAATATCCAAACAAGCAACCGTATATTAACTATTCCAGTATCAGCCTGTGGAAGTTTTATTTCAATTACATCTACCTGTATAAAAAATAAACTCTGACTCGCACTATAAATACAACCAGTTTTTCAGTAATCCCATTTAATTATTTGTATAATTCTTTATCTGTATTAATTTAGGCATATACTTACCTTTACCTATATATAGTTACCTATGGATGTAAACTCATTTGACCATTTTGGGGCTGTTTGGGGACCTAAAATTAGGTATAGAAGTACATCACTACTAATCAATACATTATCGAAAAGGAAATATTGTCTCCTAGTTACATTATATTCTCTTGGTTTACTTTACATAAATGTAAACTGTCAAAAATAATACTCAGCTTTGAGTAGAAAAAGCTGTTCATTACACATTCAAATGTTTAAATTGTTTTCAGTGGTGGCAGATGGCAGAACAAGGAGCAAGGGACACAGGAAGTTGAGGTTAGATACTAGGAGGAACTTTCTCACGAGGAGGGTGCTAAAAGGCTGGAACAGGCTCCCCAGAGAGATGGTGGGATTTCCATCCTGGGAGGTGTTTAAGACCTGGGTAGACAGAGCCTTGGCTGGGATGACGTAGCTGGGGCCAGTCCTGCTTGGAGCAGGGGGTGGACTGGATGTGACCGCCTGAGCTCTCTTCCCACCCTCATTTTCTATGATTCTAAAGGAACATTTTTACAAGGCTTTGAAACTGAAATCCTTTATGGTTATGAATTGGAGCCAAAGTTTTATCTGGGCTATGAAATTAGTTTCCCTCTCACCCTGAGAGAATTAATCGTAAAATCATAGAAATAGGGCTGAAATAAACCTTGAATGGATCTAGTCCTCTCTCCTCCCCTTAGAGCTAAGATCAACTACATCTAATCCATTCCCAGCTAGGGTGGCCATCGCAGAGGACAGTCCAGTTGGCCTCTGTCCTCTACTGATATGAAACCCGCCATCTTTATGTCCTCTGTTTTTCTCTTCAAGAAAGAGAACACATTTTTCTCTTCAAGACAAAAATAGAGGACATAAAGGTGTGGGGTTTCATATCAATGGAGGACAGAGGACAGAGTAGCAGAAAACCATCGTGTCCTTTATGATGGCCACCCTATTCCCAACACATTTGTCTATTCTGCTTCGATGAAGGAGGTTCACAGCCTCCCTTGGCAGTCTACTCCGAATTGCAATTTAAGCCCCCAGGCGACAGAGGAAACACTTGATTCCCTTGCTCTTTACATAGCCAAAGACTTATTGTGGGTGCAGAATTCAACACTTGCATGTTTCCAGGAACGAGGAGCAAATACCCAAGACATAATAGGCTAGAGATGCCTGATTCTGTAATGAAATGCAAAACTCTCGAACTCTTGGTTCAGAGATGATCCCTTTTATTACACCAACTAAGACATTGCAAAGAAAATCAGTCTGATACAAGGGATCATCTCTGAACCAAGAGTTTGAGAGTTTTACATTTCTTTTCAGCTCAGACCAACACAGCTGCCAAATACATCCCTGATTCTGTAGTGCTGAACATGAGGGGACATCAGTAGGGTGGCCATTATAGAGGACAGTCCGGTTGTCCTCTGCTCTCTATTGATACGAAACCCAACACCTTTATGTCCTCTATTTTTCTCTTGAAGACAAAAATAGAGGACATAAAGGCGTCGAGTTTCCTATCAATAGAGGACAGAGGACAACCAGACTGTCCTCTATGATGAGTGTCCTCAAGAGAAAAAGAGAGGACATAAAGGCATTGAGTTTTGTATCAATAGAAGACAGGGGACAACCTGACGCCTTTATGTCCTCTTGATACAAAACTCGACACCTTTATGTCCTCTATTTTTCTCCTGAACCCACATTTTAACTAGGTTTAGTGGGACTAGAACCCATTGAGGAAAACACACTCGTGAGGCTGGAAGAAGAAAAGCAATAGACCTGTCCTCTCAATTTATAAACCCAGCTGGTCTTCTTGTGTGATTGCACAGAGGCTGGGGTTGAATTATTTTTTCTGTCTTGGGGTTCAGGTAAAAAAAAGTAATCTATCCAGAGCTAAGGTGTGCGGGAGAAGCCAGCTGCAGGAGGTGTTGAGGGAAACACCCTTCCCGGGTGGTGGTGGTGGTGGTGGGGAACTACAGTGATAAACGGGCTTTCAAGCCCTGTCCTGGGTGAAGAGATGGGGCTGACGGGGTCGATTTAAAAAGCCCGCCAAAAAGCCAAGGACCGCAACAGCTTCGCACTACGGCGCAAGGCCAAAAAGAGCGGGAAAGCGGCGCCGACCGTTAGGCACCCGCTGCGGCCCCACCCCTCGCCGCTGCAGCCTGCGGGCCGGGCGAGCGCGCAGCCCCGCGAGGAGAACCGTTCCCCCGAGACAACGCTCCTTGCTCGGACGGCTTCCTTGTATGTCTCTCTGCGCTTCGCTGGAGTCCCCACAGAACCCGGCAATGAACGCCTCCACCCCGAGCAACCTTTTTTCTAACTCATTTGACATGCCCCGACATTATCCCAGTTCAGCCTCGAACAGGTTTCTCACTCAGCCCTGCTTTAAACCGCAGCTTTGGGTTTCTTCCTTGGTTGGGGGGGAGGGAGGGGTCGGATCCTTTCCATAAACCAGGAACTATGCAAGCTATCTGAGCAATGAAAATATATAAAAGTGCCCAAAAAACTCCTAACAATCAAGGAAGCCAAACAGGCTTAAAATAATATCATTGTATCCTCCATGTCTTGCTGTTCATCCTTTTGCACGACTGCAGATCCAAAGGAAATGCTTCAAATAAGCATGCAAAAATCGAGCACTCAGAAATGATACCTTTTATTAGACCAACCAGGAAATCACAACATTTGTTGTTGTCTTTTTCTACCAAATACATCCCTAAAATGAGCCTTTTTTTTTCAGACCTCCTCATTATTTTATTTTACACTGTACTGCGTGTTTATCTCAGTTCATCGGTGCCCTGCTGTAAGCTCAGAGGTGGTCCACAAGATGTTCAAGCAGTATCAAAGAATATATTACTATTTAAATATGTATTGCAGACTTCATGGGGCAACCAGCTAAGTATTAAGAGCTGGCAGAAGGTCTAGGTGGACCAACATATATATGCATTTTTGCA